AACTGCCATGATTATTGCGAACAATACAACATAAGTATTGTAATTATTGCTAGCACTATTAGTATTATTGGTATTCTGGTTGTGTAATACTAGTTTGTTATCTTGGGTTTTCTCAGCCACTGTGGCGGGGGTGCCGTCCATATCTCCTAGTCGTTGATTTGCCACTTTAAGGTTCTTTAGGAGGGCCAGAACGTCTTCTGGAAAAGAAAAATTGTGTTTAGTGATGTAATTTGTAAGCACCATCAAGTATATAACCAGAAATAGAGACGAAATAAGGGCCAAGTGGGTCTCTGATTCGATACGATGTGATTTGGTATGGTATAGCAAATAATTTACCAGCTTCCTTATTTCCATCGGTCCAATCCACTTTAATAAAAGTGGTCAGTGACACCTCGTACACCTTATTGGAGTCTGTTGAACCTATTGATCGTCGTTTGCGGCCGTAGCCTGTCACTCCGTTGCTGCATTCCACCTGAAAAATGTTAAAGCTTCATAAGTCCAGATTATACTACACTACGCAGTTACATATCACAAGTTAGAAAAATGATTTACAGAATGAATAGAAAAACAACTTGAAATTCAATAAAAAAAAATCAATAATACATTATCATAAGAGCGAAATCAACGTCAGCTTGCGGTAGCTGGAAAGTTATCGGCAGAGTGAGAAGGTTCATAAATCTCTCACAAGATGTCGCTTACGGCGTTGAAAGCCGAAAAAATTAAATGCAACGATCTACATAGAAAAATTTCATCGATCTGCTAACTAGAGCTGTTTCTCAGCTTGAAGAGCAATAGTATGTATCCTGTGGTCGCAGTTCAAGTCCTGTCGGGTCCAAAACGGGTCCAAACCGACTTCTGTATTTCGGAAATCGTAGAGTTGCAACGAATATTCGGTTACTATTCGGTATTCGGTTTATTCGGCCTACTTTTAAGTATTCGGCGGAATACCGAATATTAAATCACTATTCGACCGAATACCTAAAAACTGGAGGAAGAAATAAGAAAATACAGTAAATTATCACAAATAGTAACGTCTATGAGATCAAAAAAAGGTAACAAATTAAATGAACAATGCCTGCTTATTATGTAATTTTGTCATGAAATCATGATTAATTAAACGCTAACAAAATCAACTTAGTACTTATTATTTGCAAATGAAAATAAAATTAAGTTTTTGAAAGTTAATCAAGCTGAAGTGAAATAAACAATTACCTTCTTCGTTAAGATGTCATAAATTTGAATTATAAACTTGAAAATAAAATTTCCTTTTTTGATTCTTTTTACAAAATCATGCATTGTTTTAATTTGATTTGATGTAACTTATATATGTAACTATATGTAACTTATATGTTGAGTGTGTGTTATTATTATTATTATATAAGTATGTATAGCTTTGCTATAAATGCGGTTTGCGCGCCAATTTTCGTAAGATTATTAATCAAGCTGAATAGTTTAGCCGAATATTCGGTATTCGGCCTGAAGACGAAATACCATTCGTTGCAACACTAATAATCAGTGAAAAAAGCACGAACACGCGACCTTATGGTTAACATTACAATGGCCAAAAAGTAATTACTCACCCCTTGGCACTTGTTAAGGCACACATTAACAGTCCCTTTGAACTGCACGTAGGTCGTATCAGGGAACTTGAAAGCTCGAAACTTGGCTGAGAGAATGTCGCCGTCTGTCGTAACGAAGTTGTCGAACAGGTACGGGTCCACGGAACAGCTGCAAATGGATAAAATCGATTCGAGCAAACGCTGAGTAAATTCAATTTAAAACGGATTTGGAACAGAATACACTGAAGGCGTCTGTACTTTCCGAAAGATACAAATTAAGGCTGGTGGCATTGACTTACAATTATATGGACGTCGGGACCGCGCTAAAAAGTGTCCGAACTTATAGGGCGTTAAAATCGTATACAGAGCGTCATTCACGCTTTAGTCTTCGTTTGTTGGACTGACAGCGAAGCAAGCAAAATTAGACAGTACTGCGATGACATTACAATTTAAATTCAACGTTTTAGCTTTTTCATATTCCTTTACATGTCACTACGTTTAAATAGGTTGACTTGGGACATTTTTTTCGTGGTTTTTGTATTAGACCCGTCGTCCATTTATTTGTAAGTCAATGGCTGGTGGATAAGTATTTACCTGCCATTACAGAATAAGTCAATTACAGTTTTAGTAACACTAGAGCTTCTTGTGAAAGAGATCGTCCAAGGAAGTACTGCTACCTTACCTATTTCTGCCGCCAAGCAGTAATGTCAGCATTAGCAGTTTTGAAGGGTAAGGGTGCTGGTGGAAGGCACATGAGTCTTGTCAACATATGCCTCAGTAGAGCGACGGGCGCAGTGCAGTGAGTGTCAAATGTTTGCGATTTAAGGTTCTGAGTGGCAATGTAACTGTTACGGACAGGCGTGTAGCTTACCATCAGGCGCACAAACTGTCCGTCCTGTCACTTGATATTTAAAAAAAATAAATCGTAGCGTACGATGTATTTAAATGATCATTTTATATTTGCAAAAGCAGCAGGCAAAAAAATCTAAACGGTCATCTGTTTTAAAAGTTTATACTTCCTCAAATGGCGTTGGTTGTCTCCGCATAACAGTGAAAGTGTTGAATCTATCACATTGGAAAAAAATATATATAGTTAAACTGAGGACATACACTGATTACTATACGGTGTGAAAACATTCCTAAAAATTTTCACGACAGAAAAAAAACACAAATTTTCTTCGAAATTTTACAAGAAAACCGCTGTATTCAATAGTATTTTACATATACCAAAGATTTTTTTTTATATATCTACTGAACTAAATAGAACACGAATAGTATACGATACATATTTTCGAAACGCCTGTAATAAAGCCGCTCGACCAAATCTCAAAAATTTAATGTCAGTTTTCACATCCTCAATCGCAAACTAATTACCATAACGACATCGCGCCGGCTGTATTCTAACCGACCATTTAGTTCTGAGTAGGTAAGTTTAAGAATAGTGTTAAACTAACTTAACCTTTAACCATCGAGTATATATAACCAGAAACAGAGACGAACTAAGGGTCATCCATCCCTAGCAACCCATCGACTTATGTCACTTTTAAATATCAACTCTCGTTTGTACTGAAGTCACAAATTAGAAAGCTGAATTAGTACAGCGCCAACATCTGACCAGTGTGTGCGTCTCCGTATATTCCAAAAATATTCTGTATTTATTATAATAAAGATAATATCTCTATGTCATATTTCATCGGTAATTAAATGTCAAATATGTAATTTTTCAATTACGTCCATTATAGCAAAGCTCTAGTTACACTGGTCGATTTGAAGTGAAACAATTGACGAAACCCGTCAATTGTTTTGAAGCCGGGCTGGCTAATCGTTGCGCAGTTGTCACCGTAATTTGGCAGAATAGTTTTCAAGCAAATTAAATAACATTTCGTCTCCATTTCTGGTTATATACTCGATGCCTTTAACCTATGAGCCGTAACATTAGTTTCACTATGACTTCCATATTGCATTACTTACTAGTGAATGACTTTTTAAGATTTTTAAGCCAATTTGATCTTTGACGTACTGAATACAAATTTCAACCTTAAAGCTGGAATTATTTTACACTTTACTGTTGACACTACGCTGACCTCCCCGAGAAGAACGAGCAAGAAACTCTATGGATAGCTCTTTTCAAATAAACTTAATTGCTATGGAATAAATCGACGTCGAGAGGGAACGCAGGGCTTTGGCGGTCCACAGGAATATGCTGGCCCGCAGGTTTGCCCGCTGTACGGACCAAGTAAAAATTACGCTTTTTAAAGCGTATTGTCAGGGCCTGTACACGGGCGGCTTGTGGTTTAGCTGTTCGCAAAGGTCGCTGAATTCCCTTCGCGTCCAGTACAACAACGTGTTCAGGAAGATGTTGAGACTATCCCGGTACTGCAGTGTCTCTGCAATGTTTGCTCTATCCCATACAAGCTGCTTTAATGCGGTCTTGCGGAGAAAGGTAGCATCTTTGGTTAGTAGGCTCCGGGGTAGTGGCAACAGCATTCTGAGAGTTGTTGCAAACGACCACAGAGCGCCTGTACTGAGGCATCTCGTAAGGACAATGAGTCCGCGCGAGATGCCTCGTAAGTACATGACATTTTAGTTTCTAAGTAATTAATAGGTAATCATAATTTCATACTAACAATAGTCTATAAGTTTGTTTCTTTATTTTTACTAACACCAATGGATCCTGTTATCTGAGAAATAAATAATTTGAATTTTGAAAATTTTGAATAAATACTCTTTGAATCAAATATGTGTGGAATCTAGAGCCATGTCATCTTTCCATACATCTTTATCTAACACGTAGTCTTCAATTTTGTAAATGACTTTTCAATCAATTCTAAACTCAGGTTACTTACCCGTTAAAAATAATAGTCTCCTGCTGCTTCCCAGTATCAGTGACGTGCATATAGCTAACTAACAGCCCGTACACAGGAGCTGACGTATTGTCCAAGAAGATTTCCATCGAAAGAGGGGTTCCTGGACTTACGGAGATCTCTCCTGATACCCTATAAATTTGCAAAGAGGAATATTGTAAATGTTTATTATTATGTCATTTCTTTAAATATCAATACATAGAGTTAATATAGTAACAGTTCTCCTTGTGAGAGAAATCGTCCAGAGAAGTACTGCCACCTTAATTTCTGCCGCCGGATTGGAATGGTAAGGGTGCTGGTTAAATTGTAGGCACATGAGACTTGTCAACTTATGTCTCAAGGTGACTGAAAGCCATGAGTGGCTCTGGAACTGTTATGGATAGGCATGTAGGTTACTATCAAGCACACGACTTGTTCGTGCCGTCAATTGATATTATAAAAAAAAATCAATATCTCCTAAGATCTCTTAAAACTTCTAAGGTTATTTATGAATCAGCTCTTTTCCAGGACAGCCATTTATTTATTAATAAAAAGTACGGCTTTGTCCTTTTTCAATAGCAGCAGTAGATAAATTAATCCCTGATGGATATTAAAAAATCGACTGAACTCACTTCTTTCCGTTCTGTTTGACGACAGCACCAAGGACTGGCTCCGGAGCGTGACCTTCCTCGTATCTCGTGATGTTCAGTACACTGAAAACAATGAGGATCATCAGTACATGTCCAAACATGTCATCAATCACAATTTTCCTGTCCGTAGAAGCAGAATTCTTAGCTCCAGCGAATTCTGAAGTTTTTGTGGTACTTTGTTCCTGTACTGCCGTAAATAAAGACAAATATAGTAGTGTCGTATAGAATAGTGTCGTGTAGTATAGAAGCTGTGGGAAAATCCATCATCAAGTCACGATGCCAAAGAGCAGCGTATACAGTAGGAAGTCCAAGGTTTGATATGGCAAAAGATTAGGATAGCACAAAAAGCCCTGAGTGGCACTGCAAGTGGGTGGTCTGAGATATTAGGTAACTCTAGCATGAATATTTTTTGATATTTATAATTAAGACGTATCGAAAGTGATGGAGACTGTTCAACAAAGGATGATATGACTGCTATGAATAATAATTATTTTGGTTTTGCTCAATGAGGACTTGGAGAAGATAGTAATACTTACTCGGGCTCATTGAAATCCAGAGGAAAGGAATCTACTGCGCGTCTATTCACCAGATGTTTACCGGTCACCACACATCGCACTGTGACCGTCTCGCGCCCTCCCGCTTCGTCCTCGATCACGATTTTATGGTAGAATGTGCGTTTACCCTGGAAAGATAAATACTATTAATGATGATTATCAACCTATGTATGTCCAACTGCTGGCTACGGATGTCCTCTCAGGCGCCACGCTGGTCCAATGCGGGTTGGGTACTTCTCACGTTTTGCGAGGGTTGTGAACCTTCTTCGACTTGTAGGTTCCATCACGACGTTTTTCAATTTGTTAGTAATGAAAATTATTATAACATACAATTGAATCACATCCACGAAAATCAATGGAATAAATTAAATCAATCACATCAAACTATAAATTAAATTAAATTGAAACATTCACATTATATTATAAATTAGGCCTCTGGAACCCATATATATGAACTTGATTCCAGTGCTTCCACGTGTCGCAAGCAGGGTACTCCCAAATCAACCGTACGAGGCTGTTGTGACTATCACGAACGCGACGCATCATGGAGGCAGTTCTTTTGCGTATTATCGCACTAAAGCTGTCAATATGTGCCTCCGCGAACATGCCTGATGCGCTACAAAAGCGTGGCAGTCCCAACAACATCCTAAATCCATTTTCGTTATCGAAAAGCTCATGGTAAATATCAAATTAAATTTCGCACACAAAGACCTCGGATTCGAACCCAATGCCTTTGTTTGAGAGGCGGTAAGTCAAACTACTAGGCTACCATGGCTTATCACTATTAATACCTGAATGAATTTCAAACAATGGAGAATATTCTAGCAGAATCATCTGTCCCATTTGTTTGGGAAAATCTTCCAGTCTTTACGTTATAAATAGGCCTTAGGATCGCTGGATTTAGCGATTGAGATGACAAGCTTTATGCGATATAAAAAATTGTATTAACTGTGAAATTTGGGTATGGCAGAAGAACCATGAAAGTATAATTAATGCAGTGGAGATGAGATCTTTGAGGAAAATTTGTGGAATGCAGTTGAGTGATAGAGTGAAGAATACGTGGCTTGAAAGAGAATGTGTGTGGCTAGAATAGAGAAAGGAATGTTGAGGTGGTTTGGGCACGTAGAGCGGATAGATGTAAAAAGAATTACCAAACAGTTTTAAGAGGACGTCTCAGAAGGGCTTACATTGACGAGATTTGTGATGTCCTCAAAAAGTCTGGGATCAATAGTGACAAGAATAAAAGAAGTTGTATGAAAAGGCTAGTTGATATAAATACATCAAGAGGCTCGAAAGTTGCGTCAGGATAGAGTAAGGTGGCGTTCCGTCGTCTCTGCCCACCCCTACAAGGGCGTGAGCTTATGTATGTCTCTATGAACTCACCGTAATCTTATTCAGCACTCTGGTAACTCCACATTTGTGAGGATCTTGCAGATCTAGCATGAACATCGCTTTGTTGTCTTCCATGTACGGCTTGCAGGGTTTGTAGTCTAAAACAGAGACCATATCATTTTATTATAATTTCTCATCTAGTGATCAGTTCCATCGGCGACTATAAACAGCTATTTTTCGTGGTAGTTATAATAATAATAATTCATTTATTGCATGTCACATACATAGCTAATTTAAGATGTTAAATTTGGCGTTGGGCAGATAACATGTGACGCCCTGCAAGGGCATGGCAACTGCAGAAAACCGAGTTCATACTTATAATTACAGAATACGTCGTTTATAATATTACAATAGCTACATTATTAATTTTTACAATGTCATTCTTTACTTTACTAGTCTTGTTACTATATTGAATTAAAGTTATACATTTAATAGTTATTAATTAATTAATTATAATAAAATTAATCATCTTATCGAGTCGTCAGAGATAAAAAGAGAAAATCAAATAATAATAATAATCTTTTAAACAGTAATAAATGAAATATATATTGATTATGAATTCTTATTCTAATTATTAATTAAGTTACCTAAAGGTCAAATCATTTAATCATTTAATCTGGTTGTCAAAGAATTCTTTTAAATTATAATAAGGTTTATTGATGAGGAATGTTTTCAATGCCTTACAAAATTGTGTCAATCTTTCCAGGTTTTTTATACTATTTGGTATGTGGTTGTAAATTCTGATCAACATATTTGGGGGGCCAGAGGCAACTAATTCCATCCTGGGAAAGGGTACTCTAAGTTTATTTAGGTTTCGGTCATGTCTCTTATTATTATTATTTAGGGGTGAGAAGAGTTGAGGGTGCTTTCTGACGAATTTACATGACTCGAGAATATAGATGGAGGTAAGTGTCAGTATTTGGTTCTTGACGAAGTGAGGTCGACATTACTAGTTAGGTTGCTTTAGTCAGTTATTTGGAGAAATCAAAGTTTTATCCATGTATGTTGTCTGGACAAACGACTTTGCGAGAGCGCGCTGATGTCAGTTGGTTTTTGTGGTTAACCACTATTTCCTGTATGTAGTTATTGTTTTATTTCTTCCGCAACAATGTGTATAGAGACCAGGGAATGACATTATGAGGCATTTGATGAAAAATGCCATAGAATATGTGTAAGAATTTGAGATCATTCATTGCCAAGAAACAAGCGATTGTAATTTTTGAGTTTATTGAACGTAATGAGTGTTTTTTTGTTCTCCCAAAAAAAGAAAGATCTGCAACAAGCACACAGAAAAATTCGTAAGGTCGGCTGGTTCGTTCTGTGGCTTAATTGGCAGAGTAGATACTTTGCCAATTAAACCATTAAAGTTCTTAGTGCTTCGATCTTTGTATTAATAATTATAAAAAAAGCGATTATTAAACCCTCTGAAATTTGAACTTTTGGACATCTTTTGGTTGAAATTTATGAAGTTTTAAGTTGGAAACTTTGTCATTTAATGTGAATTTTCTACAAAATATCATTGAGTGGGTTTCTTTCATATACGAAAAAGATCATACTGCGTTTATTCGAAGTATTTTTCATAGGATAGTTGTCTTAAGTGTAAGAAATCCCATCACTGTCAACTTCAAAATACATCCCAAGCTAAGGTTTTTTATGTTACTAAGTAACGGACATGACATATCGTGCACCTGGTGGTAAACAATGTAAAGCAGTTGAGTCACTCAGAGCTTTAAATCGCAAAGGGTGAAAGGGCTCGTCCAGGGAAATACTGCCACCTTTTCTATGTATTTCTGCCGCCAAGCGGTAATGTCGGCCATTCCTGTGTTTGAAGGGTGAGGGGTGCTAGTGAAATTACAGGCATTGTAACTTTCGACGACCGTGAGGTCCGGCCAGTAGTGCGATTCACGTAATCAAACCGTTACGATATCGCACCGACTTAGTCCTTGAACTGCTTTTTCGTGTTCACGTGACAGTCAACGTCAACCAGTCCAATTTTAACGTCGTTCGATCCAAATGTCGTTAAAGCGTATACTGGTATATGAAACGAACTTAAATCGACTCTAAACGACAAGTCATATGTATTCTCATTGACTTACAATTATATGGACGTCGGGTCCGCGCTAAAAAGTATCCGAACTTATAGGGCGTTAAAATCGTATACAGAGCGTCATTCACGCTTTAGTCTTCGTTTGTTCGACTGACAGCGAAGCAAGCAAAATTAGACAGTACTGCGATGACATTACAATTTAAATTCAACGTTTTAGCTTTTTCATATTCCTTTACATGTCACTACGTTTAAATAGGTTGACTTGGGACATTTTTTTCGTGGTTTTTGTATTAGACCCGTCGTCCATTTATTTGTAAGTCAATGCGTATACTACTAAAATTTTGACAGTTCTTTCAATAGACTCTCGACGACTAAATGTCAAATTTCACAATCCAAGACGTCGTTCATTAAGCGTTACGTTTCGATCCTACTCATATCAACGTTCGTTCAAGTGATACGTGAATACCCATTTTGGATAGGACTTCGATCGAACGACTACGTGACTTCAACGATATTTTGATAGCTTGAACTTACGTCAATCGTACTACAGGTCAATGTAGAGGAAATTAACCTTTCTACATTGTCTCGGGTATTGGTGTTTGTGGTACCGTCGTTGTTTCCGTTTTCCATAACACAAGTGCTTTAGCTACTTACTTTGAGATCAGAGCAACGTCTGTAATGTTGTCTAATATTTATTTATCGATTATTTATAACTTATGCCTCAGGGTGACATGCGTTGATGGTGCCCCTCAAAATTTCGCGATTTAAAGCTCTGGGTGACCTTGTAACTGTTTTTGGACAGGTGTGTCTCTTACCACCAGGTGTACTACTTGTTCACCCCGTCACTTGGTATGGATAAGAAAATAAAGTGTGCAAGTCTCGTGTGTCTGTATTTTAACCAGTACTCCCTTCAAAACCGGAATAATGTTCCCAATACTGCTTAGCGACAAAAATATATATATATATAGCAGATTAAGCTCCGCTGCATACGCAGTCCGCAGAATACGTGAGCTTACCGATGTTAGTACTGCTAGACTAGTTTACTTTAGTTACTTCCATAGTATAATGTTAGGACATTTAACGGACATATAACGTTAGGGATTCTCATGTGGGGTAAAGCGGCAGATATACAAACCATATTTGTATTGCAAAAACGAGCGATTCGTTCTGTGTACCGTCTAGGCTCTCGGGTTTCTCTCAGAGAAAATTTTAAGGAGACTGATATCATGACTGTGGCATCACAGTACATTTACTCAAATATTTTATATGCCCGTAAAAATATACATAATTTCAATAAGAAAGAAGATATCCATAATGTTAATCTTAGAACTAAGTCCAAACTCATAGTACCACGATTTCGTTTAACCTGGGTAAACAACTCTTTTATGGGGAACTGTGTACGTTTTTACAATAAGATTCCGGAGCATATATTAAGTTTATTATTTCCTAAGTTTAAAAACTACATTCAATATATTTTGATCGAAAAATCATATTACAAAATTGAAGACTACGTGTTAGATAAAGATGTATGGAAAGACGACACGGCTCCAGAATCCACACAAATTTGATTCAAAGTGTACTCCACAGCATTTAAGTTTATTTGAAAAGAGCAATCCCTAAAGTTTCTTGCTCGTACTTCTCAGGGAGGTCAGCGTAGTGAACGAGCAGTAGCTTAAATGTGACATTTTCAAGTGTAAATTTATTTTACCTATGGAATAAATAATCTTTGACTTTGACTTTGTCTTTGACTTAATAGGAACGGTGTCAGTATTTCCCTGGACGTATTCTTATATTAATAGGCGATCCTACCTCAGCTAGAATTCAACTATTTACCGTATTGAATCGATTATATTGCGCGGGTCGAGGGATAGAAACACTGGCTTTATTTCAGAATTTAGTCTTTTACAAACGCAATTAAAGCTATTTGATAAATGTATATCGTTTACTATACGTATAGGTGAGCTTAGCAGCACTCATGTGGGATGCTATATAGATGGAGTATGTCTCAATAATATTAGTTATGCCGATGACATGGTGCTGCTGGCACCATCGATCAGTGCACTTAGAAAATTGATTGGGGTTTGTGAGGATTATGACGCCTCGCATGGATTGATGTACAACGTCAAAAAGACTGAGTATATGGTCTTTGGGGTCGCCGGTAAGAAGAGTCTTAACAATGTGCTTCCCATAAGTCTCAATGGAATTCCATTGAAGAGAGTAGCTCATTTCAAATATGTAGGACACTATATTGCCGACGACCTCAAGGACAATATGGATATAGAACGCGAGCGCAGGGCATTGTCGGTGAGGGCGAACATGCTGGCTCGCAGGTTTGCTCGATGTACGGTGGAGGTGAAGGTCACTCTTTTCAGAGCTTACTGCACACCACTGTACGCGGGGGCTCTGTGGGCCAGCTATACCCAAGTCTCGCTCAGGGCCATGCGCACGCAATACAATAACGCCTTCAGGACGCTGATGCGGCTGCCGCAGTTTTGCAGTGCGTCTGCCATGTTTGCTGAAGCCCGTGTGGATAGCTTCATGGCAGTCTTGCGCAAAAGATCAGCATCTCTGTTGAACAGAATACGTGGCAGCTGTAACAGCCTCCTGAAGACAATTGCAGTTAGATGTGAGTGTCCCATAATGCGGCATCTCATTAATAATACAAAATCTGTTCTAGAATTTAAGTACTAACCTAATTATAAGTTTCATTGTTGCTAACACTTATGGATCCTAGTTATCTGAATAAATGAATTTGAATTTTGAATTTTTTTTTATACGTGTTCTGTTTAGTCTTTCTTGAACAGCGATTTTCTTGTAAAATATCGAGGTAAGTTTATGTTTATTGTCTATCGTGAATTTTTTGGAATCGTGTTTTGACTTCGTGTATTAATCAGAGCATATCCTCAATTTTGTATATATTTTTTCCAAAGAATTTGATTCAACACTTTTACTGTCATGCGGAATCAACAGTCATTTGAGGTTGTATCGAATATTAAAGTATATCTTTGTAAAATACGTTTTGAAATATAATAGCGTTCGACTTTTTCTAGTCATAGTTTTTGCGGTTTGCAAAACCAAAACTAGGTTACGGTTAAATCTTAACTAAGTGGTATAAACTTTCTGCATAGAAACAAAAGACAATAACTTACGAGCATAATTATTGACAAAAGACGCGCGTGACCTGCTTGAGTAACGAACGGCTATTGTCACTCCATAGTGACGTGTGGAGTAACAGCTAATGGAACAGGTAACAGTTATGATATCATACTGACAGAAAAAATTACAGCGCTGTTTAACCCCAGAGTATCTGTGAGAGATGAATTTAAAGAAAGTATCATTCTTACACTATTCTCAAATTACATTTATGAAATGTAACTTATAATTATTAATACAAAGATCGAACACTCAGAAAAAATTCTTTCGATCCGATCTTCTAGAAAATCGTACCAGACGCTATGCGAACTAAGCCACGGCATGAACCAGCGGACAACACGAATTTTTCTATGTACTTGTTGGCGGATCGACTTCTTAGTCTCTTCTTTCCTTCTCTTTTTAGACTCTTTAGTCGACCAAGCAAGGATGATATCCCGTCGTACTTTAGATGTCCGATGGTAAAAGGGAGCGGGCGGGATGAGCTGATGGAGCTCATGGACACACTCACAGAAATATATTCTGTAGAAAACCGACAAATTTTGCGCCATTGCCTTCTAGTACTGCGTGATCTGTATATCAATGTGTACTAATTTATGTTCTATGTGCTTTTGTGTTATACCTTGTGAAATATTTGTTTCTGCTTGTATTTGTGCTGAATAAACGTTTTATCTATCTATTATTCTCATTAAATACATCCATTCTAGGCATAGACGCGTCTGTCGCCGACGAACTTGAAAGGCGTAATACCAGCGTGTCGAAAACTTGTTAACCAACTTAAAAAAAATTCTAAGGATGTCAAACTAGGGGATGAATCCGATTTCGCCCACTTTCCGTAAACGGATTTCAATAATACTTGACAAATAGACTTCACGAACAAATAGATTCCACGAGCTTTTGGAGTCAGTTTTTTTAGTACTCTTACTTTGATAGATAGATAGATAGATAGATAAAAGCTTTATTCACCACCATGACATCAGATACATGATATAGGCATTAACTTATATATAACAATAATGATATTCTTATCTACTAATATTACACTTGGAAGTCATGGCAGTGAAAAAGGCGCTGGCTCAGCATAAATGACGCGGCTGCCCGCGACGCTGGTATTCTGCCAGGACCCTTTAGGATAAAGACGCCACTCGCAATCCAACAAAAATCTGATTTCATTTTTAAATTATTAATTTGCAATTTTCAATCTTCTTCCTCCCAACCTCCACACATAATACATTATTTGCAGTCCTGAAACGAGGTACAGCCAGGAGCATAACAAGCCCGACCTTGGACCTTGGACCGTTCCTATCGCAAGCGGCACAGAGTTGAAATTAAATCTTAAATGTACTTTGCACTGCGATAATTTTACTTTAAGGAAGTATTAGCTTCTTTGTTAATTATTTAATTACTATTATATTGTACATATAGAGCCTCCCCTAGATGTTCCCATAGAAGCATTAAAAGTCACTGTGACCATTCATAATCACCACATCACTAACAGAAACTATTTTCTCCCAGTGAAAGTCGGTCTTTAACAAGATGTCTTCACACGATTATTAGCTCATGAGATCGCAAAAAAAGCGCGTTAAAACTATTGTTCCATACTTTTAAGGCCACATTATGAATTGATCCTGCTATCTTTATTATGGTTGCCTTTTAATACAGTTTGTCATAGCGGATTATTTTTATTATGGTATTTAAGTTATGAAAATAACAAATAAGTAAGTGGTGATGGATGTGTGTACACCTTAGAATAATAACGCATAGAAACCTAGTCCGCATACGCTAAGTGAGGCAAATTGAAGCGCGCCAAAAGGGCCTACACGAGCGGGCGGGCCTTCAGTGCTCAAGGTCAACTTGCACCGCGAACAGATCAAGAATTTTAGCTAAAAATGACGAAATGTGCGGTAAATGAGTGTAAAAATACGTCAGACAAACATAAAATAGGTACTAACATCACATTCCACAAGGAAGTAACGCGTTTCAACTTGTATTTTTATATAAGTATTCACTAAAACCGAAAATTAACCTACTACTAAAACTAGCCTATATGAATTTGATTTTTGCCTCACTTGTGACAGTTCGTTTGATATGAAACTATCATTCTATGCGTTATTATTCTAAGGTGTACACGTACACATCCCGCACGCATTTCTTTTTATAATATCAAGTGAGCGACAGACCTATCCATAGCCTGAGATATAAGTTAACAAGTCCCAAGTGGCTGTAATTTCACCAGCACCCTTAACCCTTCAAAACCGGAACGCAGTAATGCTCACATTACTTAGCGGCGGAAATAGATGAGGTGGCAGTACTACGAAAGAGATAGTGACAAAGGTAAACGCCACAAGTAATCAAGATGAGGTTAGTTGGCGACAGCGAAAGAGGGTAGACGGATGACAACTCATATATATAGATAGCTTTAAGAACAAACGTTCCTAAAGCTATCATCTGCGCTGGCCAGTCAATCCGTGACCATGGAGCGTGTGACATTCAGAAATATCGGGAAAACAAAAATCAATCTTATCATGATTCTATTATTAATTTTGTTATTTTATACTGTTTTAAGAGCACGCTGCATACTTTATATTTAGTACTTTAGTAATTATTTTAAAATGTTTAAATTACGGATGTAACAAACCTGCTTTATGTATTAGACGACCTTAAGCCAGAGTGTGTACTTTTAGTTCACTAAGAATCCGCTAGATGGCAATGATTAATTTGGCGTTATTTCTGAATCGCGGTGTTAAGATTTTCCCTGGAATGGTGACTATTGTAACACAATTTTGTTTTAGTGGAGAGAAATCGGAGAATAATGAGAGCTCAGTTAAGCTAACCAGGAGGTGAGTTCCTTCTTGGGAAGGTTCCTTCTCTTATAGGGTAAAGTTCATCTTTCCAGGCTACCACAACCTCCTAAAACTCTATTCATTCACTCTTTTCGTAGTATGACGCGACTTTAACATTAAAGTAATATTGTTCTTATGTCAAATTTAGCAATCTTAAAATAGTTACTCAAACGCAATGGAAACAATATTGTTTTCGATTTCATTGTCTAAATATTGATTGGTAATTATTAAAAGTTAAGTTTAACTTATTCATTTACATAAATCTCTTCAATATTATTTTTATTTCTATTTAGTAGTACATAGAAAATAATTTCTCGATATTTATTTCGCAACATTTTGACAGCGACACTAACAGTTGACACTAGATTAATAATTCCGAATAAACAACGTGACAATCAAGGCTCAGCTTGTTTTATTTATTTTTCTTCGTGAAAATGAGGAAAAATAATTGAAAACAACGTAATTTTAATAGATTTGATTATTACGTACTGTTCTTTTTTTGGGAATTAAAATTCTCTTAATGTAAACAATTATTAAGTACTTTAAGATTATACTATGATAGGACGATTCGGAACATCAAAAACGAAAGCATTGTACAGTTCATATAGCGTCATTTCTTTCCTATTTTTTATTTGGTCTACATCCTTTGCCCATCACTTCTTCGGCTTCCTCGGGCCCTTCTTATATAACGAATGTAATGGTGATTTGCATATCTATCCTCTAAACAAGTTTGAATGTAAGAACGTGGTCACTAAAAGGCTATTGACTTTGTCATATGAGGAAACCGAAAACCTCCTTCATGTTCCATTATAGTTAATTCCCACACACACAAACACACTCTCTCTCTCTCACACACACACACACACACACACACACACACACACACACACACACAC